TTATTTAATTGTTCTTTCTTGGCACAAAGTTCACATTCCGGTCACGTCCCTATTTGTAGGACTTATGCCGCTACTTCGGCTAAGTCGTCGTCTTTCCGCTTAAATAAAACGCACGACACACACACAATTTCAGTTCAAATACACATATGTGTTATTTATATTCACATATGAAATAACGAGTATATACATTTAATATTTAAATAATAGTTTTAATTAATTTTATGTAATAGTTTTAAGTAATTTCATTGTAATTCTAACAATAGGCAGAGTTATTTTTAGTGCGACATTTCGAGCGTGTTTTAACGTCCGCGTCCGGCTAGCGACTCTCGATTCTGCTGTCCGTTCGGTTTTTGTCTCGTTCGTCCGTTCGTATGTTGAGTTCACTTCGCCGTAGCGTTGCTACCTTGTCCGTATCTATTCCCACATATATGTTTAGAATGAAAAAAAAATCATCATGAAAGTAATAAAGTTTCGAATTTGCATTAACAAAATCGGTTCATAAATAGGGCTTTTATAAATAACTCGACTCCGTTTTTCGTAAATGCTTTTTCATCATGCAAGTAGCTTATACTTTGAATTTCAACGAAATCGGTTCATAAATACGACTTTTATAAATAACTCGACTCCCGCGCCACCTAGCGGGTCTATTTTTGGTAAACATATTTTCCATCATGCTGGTAGCTTACATTTTAAATTTAAAAGAACTTAATTCATAAATAAGAATTTTATAAATAACTCGACTCCAGCGCTACCTAGCGGGTCTATTTTTTGCATACGTATGGCTGACTTCCAAAACATCAATTGCATTGCATACGTACAAAGTTTAATGTTCCATAACGCCGAACTACAATTGGTTGACAATGTACACTTTTCCAAAACCCTCCGATAAGTTATCGAAACGCATTGCTAGCGCAATCAGCGCATCAGAAACAAAGTTGATGCTTCGTTTGTTATTGGTTACCATTGGTGTTTTAAAAATGCAAAATTCCGAAATGGTGATTATTGTTTTATTAAATATTCCAAATATGCAATGTATATGGTTGCAATGTTTCGCTACTCTGCATATGCAAAGAGTTTGAATACCGCAGTAGAACAGTATCCAAACATTGTATTGGAACGTTTTGGAAGTCAGCCTATTTCTCATCATGGAGGTAGCACACATTTTGAATTTGTACGAAATCAGTTCATAAATACGACGCCACCTAGCGAGTTTTCTGGTAGCCTATAATTGAGAAAATGTTGGACCAAAATTATTAAATTAAAAATCTAATTTTGGGCGGGACGAAGTTCGCCGGGCCTGCTAGAAATGAATAATCAAAAGGAATATAGATAAAACTGGTCGAAATAAGACGCTTCTTTTACTTCTGCCACTAGTATTATGAACTTCTTTGAACCAGAAAATATATTTTTTGACTTAATTTTTTTGCATCTTTTTTTTAACTTCCATACATATGTTTCCACAGAATGCTGTATACATACTAGGGATGTTGCGAATGTGGAATTTTAAACATCCGCGGATGTGAATGCGGATGCGGATGTTTAAAAGCCAACATCCGCGCATGCGGATGCGAATGTCAAGTATTTTTAAGAAATAATTTAGGTGAGTAGGTTACCTAAGTTAGGTATATAAAAATGAAAAAGTTAGTAATTTTAAATAATGTTTTTTTAGTACTTGAAGTTAAAAATTGGAACATTGTATTTAATAAAAAGTAATGTTGCCGCCTTTTCGGGTTGCAGCCTGTTTCTTAAAGGGTCGTAAATCAAACCTGCGCCATTAATAACTACTCGCCCGAGGCGACAAACTTGAAAAACTTGAGACTTGACAAAATTTTAAATTCTTTTCGATTGACGCTGCACCAGTTGAGAGAACTTTCAGTTATATATATATTTTTTCAGTGCAATAATTTCTTTTTGAGAGTTACATCGGGGCTGCAAATATCGGATGTATCCTCCTGACTATCATCTTCACAATCTAGCATCATGGCAAGATCGTTGTTTAAACACCATTGCTTTCCAAAAATTTCTTCATTCTCATTCCTTTGGTAGTTCAGAATTTGTAGCGTCATCAGCGTTTTAGTTTTTGTATCACATTTTTAATCCTTTCTTCTGTGACTAGTTTGAAAAATGTGTGCTTATAGCAAGGTTCTAAATAGGTCGATACGGCAAATAAATTGAAATTTTCTAGGAATGAAAATTTTTAAGAAAATTCTCTTTGGAAGTCGTCTCTGCCAGCCGAATAAGTTTAAAATCTTGTTTTATTGTTAAAAAGCGGGGTGCTTTTTTATAATAATTTGAATTATTGGAATCACAGACGATGAAGGCCTCATATCTGCTTAGTTCCATGGTGACTTCTTGAAAAGGTTGACCTGTAATGAATAGCTTGTAACTCCTTTTTTAATTAGCTGAGCTCGACTTTTCCTAGGGGCAGGCAGTCTCAATTAGTTACTCACCGCTAGCGATGCATCCCGTTTTTTCAACAGACCTTTGGCAAATAATATTCAATAGTTACATAATTCTTACCTAAATAAAGGTTATCTTTTAACGCCCATATAGGGGATTCTCTTTATAGCTAGACATTGAACATTTCCGCTGGAAATACCTATTGAAGAATCTTACTCTCATGAACGAAAGACACATGATCGATTTTTTTTAACGGGTTCTACGTCATCTTGTTTCATCGGAAAACGAGCGAAAAGTAAACAAAGCAAAGAAAACAACGAAAACCAAAATTAGCCAAAATTATTGTCAGCCACTTTAAACGCACAATTTAGGTATAATGATGCAACAAAATGCTTTAAAATGTGTTGTCATGTTGAATTAACTCTTCTTTACTTGAATAAAAGTGTAAAATAGTGGTGCTTGTGATGTAAACAAACGCTCAGCTGACGAACCCGCTTTCGCAAACTTTTTTATCAAAACCAGTTACAAATACAACGTCGCGTTCTTACGTGATCTTGTATTTTTGGTTCATGTCTTACTCTTTGACTTTTTAACAGTTTTAACGTAGCATCTCCACAGGCAAAAAATATTTGTCGTTTTTTCTGCCAGATATGTAAACGTTTGACCAGTGCAGTTGCACAATATTCGCATTCGCAAAAGCTCCGCATTGATTATTGCGAATGCTAAAGCGAATGCGAATGTTAAAATTAATGCGGAAGCTCCGCGGTCGCGAATGCGAATGTTCGCAACAATCCTGATACATACATATGGGTTATTCCATACAATATTTACACCTCAATATTTATATTTAAAGACAGATTAAAAGACATCCTTGTTTCATTTGACGTGGTATCCCTATTTATGAATATACCCGTTCAATTCGTCATTCGTACAATTATGGAACAATGGAGTTCACTGCAACGCCATACCACAATCACAAGGCAACAATTTTTAACGACCTTAGAATTCTGCCTGAGAGATAAGAATTACTTTTTATATGATGGAACATACTATCAACAAGATCATGGAATGCCAATGGGGAACCCCTTATCGCCAATTGTAGCCGATNCGTTCCAAGTGTCAGAGGAAAACTACACAAAGGCACTCAAACAACTTGAGCAGCGCTACGACAAACGGGTNCTTTTTATATGATGGAACATACTATCAACAAGATCATGGAATGCCAATGGGGAACCCCTTATCGCCAATTGTAGCCGATATTGTTTTAGATAAAATACTTGACGACAGCATCGCTGAACTTAAAACTAAGGACATACAGTGACGAGCAAAACTGTAACTTGGTGTAACACTTTTTACTTCAGCCATCGCTATCTTTCCAAGTTCTGACGACTTTCATACTTTTGTTGTATATTCTTGTTGGTACCATGGTTGCCACAATTGGTAGCTTTTTACCAAAATTGGTAACTTTTAAACGGTTTGGTAACTTGGTAACTTTTATTTCATTTTGGTAACTTTTGCAACTAAACATCTATTTGCATTACTAGAAAGAAATGCATTATGTTTTGAATGTGCGTAATTATAAAAACCCTTCGAGTTTCAGTGGCAGCACTACTGACACTTCTACAAAATTACTTCGATTAAATTAGAGTCATCTAATATTCGAATACTGGAAATATTTGAATAACAGTGGCAGCACCAAGGCACTATGGGAAATTTGAGCCTATTTAATGGCCAAAGGTCAATTTTTTGACTTGCTTGAAATGNAACGGGTATTAATATTTTTAGAACACATAACTAGCTTGTTCAACATTCAAACCATGCCAAAGCCGGATCCATCAAGTCTCCGCACAATTCTAGACACAGTTTCTGCTCTCCGAGGTTCGTTGTTGTCTTTGGGCTCCGAGGCAGACGTTATGAACGCGATCATTATTTAATTAGTTTTATCAAAGATAGATGGAGAGTCAAAACTAACTTATGACAGGAAGCAAAGCTTCGAAAAATTACCAACTTGGGAATTTNCCCGATCTCTTATTTTCCCATAATCTTATGCTGCGATTTTGTGCGATATTAAAGAAATTATAATTTTTCTTAGGTAACTACTTGGTACAAAATCTTGAGTTTTATGAAATAGTTCACGGTGTTATAATTTCAAAATTGCAAAAAAAAAAACTATCAGATAACAAGGAGAAAGTTTTAAACTTCAGGTCAGTGGAGGATTCGAGTCGATATTTAAAATAGAACGTACGACGCATCTGTTTATTGGGTCGGGGTCCACTGGAACCCGTGTGACCATTACGCTATTTTTTTGGAGGTGTGACCAACCACCTGTTCAATCGATAGTATCACAAAGTTCTCGGCGTGCACTTAATCCTACAGCTCTTGTCTTAATCAAAGAAAAAGTATGGCAGTTTTCAAACAGCGCGTGCTCTTCTAGACTCGTGCTCTGAAATTAACTTCATTACTGAAGAGTTGGCTAAACGACTTCAACTTGGGTTTCAANAACCGCAATATGAAAGGAGCAAAGGCGCACATCATAAGCAAGCATCAAGCGCATTCGTGACTGCACAAAGCAAATCACCATCGAATTGTTTAAGGGACACATGATTTCAAAATGTCCTTCCAAATCAAAATGCCGTGTATGCCAAAATTCACACCATACCGCGTTGCATCGTCATATCTCGGCAGATAACAATGGAGCTCATATGAGTGAAACAATTGCGTCGCAACCACCTGTTCTATCGTTAGTATCACAAAGTACTCGGCGTGCACTTATTCCTACAGCTCTTGTCTTAATCAAAGACAAGTATGGCAGTTTTCAAACAGCGCGGGCTCTTCTAGACTCGTGCTCTGAAATTAACTTCATTACTGAAGAGCTGGCTAAACGACTTCAACTTGGATTTCAGCGAAATAATCAAGAAATTTCTGGTATTGCAGATGTTCGTACCAACTTGCGGTTTTCAGTCAAAACAGTTATTAAATCTCGAGTGTCTAGCTATGAATTCACTTCAGATCTTGCCGTCACAAACCGAATTTCGCTTCAGCAGCCAGAACATTGTTTGGACACTACCAACTGGAATCTTCCAGAAGGCATTATACTGGCTGATCCGCTCTTCTACAAACCACAAAAAATCGATTTGTTGCTAGGCTCGCAAGTCTTCTTTGAGATATTCGTCGGTAACAACCAAACACTAAGTGAATACTCACCGCGTCTAATCAATACCACATTGCGCTGGATTGTTGGGGGAAAATTGGACAGCAAGTCTAGATCGAATTTCTACACGTGCAATGTCGCTACGTGTAATGGACTTGACACAATACTGAAAAAATTCTGGGAACTTGAAGATTTCGCATACGACCAGGTGAAATATTCCATATATACTCCAGAGGAACAAGAATGTGAGAATCATTTCAAGGGGCACGCTAAGGTGCTCGCAAATGGTCGCATTCAAGTCTCTCTGCCATTTAAGCAGTCTCCAAATTTACTTGGAGAGTCCATCGACATTGCTAAACGCCGTTTCCTGCAACTCGAACTCGCCTTGAACGTGACGCTGCATTAAAGGAAATGTACTCAGCATTCTTGCAAGAATATTTGGATCTTGGGCATATGCGCACATGCCACGGATTGGAATTGACTTCTCCACATTACGTAATACCACACCACTGTGTAGTACGGCCAGAGAGTTCGACAACTAAGTTGCGTGTGGTATTCGATGCGTCAGCTCAAACCACAGCACATTGCTCATTCAATGACCTGGTTATGATTGGGCCCACAATTCAGCGAAATCTTATCTTAACACTATTAGCATTTCGATTGCATCGTTACGGACTTACCGTTGACATTTGCAAAATGTATCGGCAATTTGTAGTAGAACCGCAAGATCGTAGCTATCAATTAATTTATTGGAGAACATCTGTAAATGATCCTCTAAGTCTTTTTTAATTGAACACGGTAACATACGGCATGGCATGTACTCCATTCTTGGCCATCAGAAGTGTTCACTTGATTGCAGATCTTCACAAAGAAAAATTTCCAGTCGGCTCTGCAACTTTAAAAACGGATATGTATGTAGACGATCTCCTAACGGGCGCAGATAACATAAGCGATCTACACATAAAGGCCGTTGAAACAACCAAGCTGTTAGCGGAAGCAGGCCTACAGCTAGCTAAATGGAAATGTAATCAGCGAGTGGCGAACAGACTCTGGAGAGTTCGAAATAAGGCTCGAAGATATGGGTGTGACCAAGGGTCTCGGTATGGCATGGAAGCCAAAAGCTGATGTCTTTTGTTTTAAATATGACCTGCTAGTGAAAAAATATACAACGAAGCGGTCTGTCGTTTCAACTGTGGCATGTTTGTACGTTGTTTGTAAGTCAAAGGTTGCCCCAATAAGGGCAATTTCACTACCCCGTTTGGAGTTGTGCGCAGCCGTCTTATTGTGTTCAACTTGGAGCAAAATAAAAACTAAATTAGTTCAATATATTAATGATATTCATTTTTGGACGGATTCAAATATCGTTTTGCAGTGGATCAAAATGCATTCGTCAACCCTAAATTGTTTCGTTGCCAATCGAGTTTCGGAGCTGCAGATGAATTCCGCAGGCATAAATTGGAGATATGTACCTACGAAGCAAAATCCAGCAGACATTGTATCACGCGGTTGCATGGCACGTGAACTCTTAAACACTATGTGGTTTAAAGGACCAACATTTCTCTCCAGAAATACAGGATCATGGCCTGAGGAAGCGACAAAGACCTCGTTCAGTAAACTCGAGTTGGAACAGCGGAAACCAATTACACTCAAGTGTACCGTCGGTGTCACAGATGATAACATCGTTAAAAATGTCATTGCAAATTATTCATCATACCGGCGTATATTAAGGGTGATGGCATTCGTTCTACGACCGTTCAACAAAATAGTCGCTAACAAAAATACATAGAATTTCTTATTCGTATCTCCAGATGAACTCCAGCAGACATATTTATACATTGTTTCATCCATTCAGCACTCACATTATGCACATGAAATAAAGATGCTAAAGGCAGGGAAGACACTAAATCCTGAACTACGGAAGCTGTCACCGTTTTTGGTCGAGACCCCTTTGCAAGTTTCAACTAAATTAGTTTTGCGAGTTGGAGGAAGACTCAATCAAGCACCCATTGAATACAATGCGAAGTTTTCTGCGTTATTGCCAAAGCAACATCAACTTACGCGCAAATTTGTGGAGCCCCTGATTGTAAATTTGGGTAATCAATGCGCGTGAGTTAGTACGAAAGGTAGTCAACTCTTGTGTGCATTGTTATCACTACAAACCAAAGTTAGTGCAGCAAATAATGGGATCTCTTCCAGCCGATCGTCTGCTTGCTCAGCGCCCCTTTTTGGTAGTAGGTGTTGACCTATGCGGCCCATTTTATACTTCGTACCGCATTCGTGGAAAGGCACCTTACAAAACCTATCTAGCAGTATTTGTTTGCTTTTCATCGAAAGCAGTACATGCGGAATTAATATCAGATTTATCAACGAATAACTTAATAACTTTGTTCTCTCTTTGAAGCGTTTTATTGGCAGACGTGGCATACCGTATCGTATCTACTGTGACAACGCCACGAATTTTGTGGGCGCACAGTCGCAGCTGAATGAATTCAAGCGTCAGTTCTTCAACCAGCAATCAGTATCTGATTTGGAGCAGTTCGGCAGCGTTCATGGGTTTGAATTTCGATTTATCCCACCGCGTGCTCCTCACTTTGGGGGATTGTGGGAAGCTGCTATAAAATCAACGATGACTCTGCTGGTAAAAAACATCTCACAGTCTAACTTAACTTTCGAAGAACTTCAGACAGTAGTGATTGAGGTAGAGGCCATATTGAACTCGCGACCTCTTACGCCTTTGACTGACGACCCAAATGATGAGTCGCGTCTAAATAGTTGGCAGCGTATCACTTACTTAAAGCAGCGATTATGGTACTTGTGGCGTCGGGATTACCTTCATACATTACAAGTGCGGTCGAAGTGGCTTGAGACGCAAGAAAACATCATTCCTGGTCAGCTTGTTGTGATTCATGATGACAATTTTCCACCCCAACAATGGGCACTTGGTCGCATCACACACACGTCCCCAGGAGCAGATGGCCGTGTACGTGTGGTTGACATTTTCACAAAGCGAGGTACTCTACGGCGCCTAGTGCACAAGATAGCTCCTCTGCCGATTGAATAAAAATGTTTGAAAAGAATATTTAAACGGGCGGAGTATGTTGGAGCAGATGAACTTGTGTATATTTCTACAAAGTAGTTACAGTTTTGTACCACTGTGCCTGCGCTACATGCATACGTACATACATGAAACATATCGGCCGATGTTGTTTTTCTTTATCTTATTTACAAATGTACGTACATGCAAATGTCTTTGCTACAGCAAGTGGGTACGCACATAGTTACGCACGGCTTCACTTAGTAATATACATATTTACATACATTCATAAATATAGGGTTATACATATCATGCATTCCTTAGCATAACAACACAAATACTGTAAATTGTTATTATCAATTGTTCTCTCATCATCATTCGATGTTACGATAACTGGTTCTTTCCAATAAGAGTTTTGCTTTATAAGTTTCTAGCGCAACGTACAAAGTGTGAATCGAAATAAATCAGTGAAAATTAGCGGTCGAGTTTTTCTTCTACGAGGCTCATTAATTTGAGTTCAGACAATTCTAATATTTTTATTTAAGTTTTCTGTTGCGTTATGGTTGTTCTCGTCAATTATTTTTAAAAGTGTTTCTATTTCTGTTCTGTCATTGTCGTCCATTGTTCCTGTTAAAAGTTTTAGTCCAGTACCTAGTACATTCAGTAATGCTCTCTTATGTCTGTGAGGTAAAATTGTTAAAAGTTTTGTTCTCACTCTGTTTAATTTATTTTCTAAAAGTAACCTATTTTCTACTTTTGTTGATCTTATATTTTGTTGTAAGATATTTACAATTTCGAGGATTTTATTAATTTCTATTACATGGATGATTTTACAGTAATTTTGAATAAAGTCTACTTTGTCGAATTGGATTTCGGCATATCCGTCTGTACTTTCAATAGGTTGTATCGTTAGTGTTGCCGTTGTTATCGTCAGCGTCAGCAGTAAAAGTGTCAGTATTAATTGCATCTGAAAATTTCTTTTTACGTTTAGTGTTTGTTGGATGGATATTTTCTAATTTAGATTTTTTATATCTAGATTCATGCTTATGCCTAAGTGCTTTATAGTTCTTGATGTAACCTTCCTGTTGGTCCTGTATATATGTTTCTCTTTTTTAATTTTTCTTGCTTATAATTTTGTTTTTTAGTTTGTTTAGTCTTTCGTTAATGGTATTCTTATTAATTTTTCCTTCTGCTATATCTTGTGATTTTTCTTTGGTTGCACTGTGTATAGATTTATTGTAAAATTCTATGCTTTTGAAAATTTTTTCTTGGGTTGACAATTCAAATTTTTCAGCATTTAGCACTCTAAACTTTTCGGATATTGTGCTATGAAGTCTTTCTATGTCTGAGTTGCCTGTGTGGCTGTTTGGTTTAGTAAAATGTATGTAGATATTTTCTTGTCTTAGGAAGTCTTTAACGTTTACTGAGTTCAATTCATTGTCTGTTATAATTTTGATGGGTTTGTTTCTCATTCAGAAAAAGAGTCTGAGCTTTTCGATAATTGTCTGACTGTTTCTGTCTTCAAGGAATAAAGCTGTTGCTTGTTTAGAAAATTTATCAATAAATGTAACGAAGCTATGTTTTTTAATTGTATAAACGTCTAAGTGTACAATTTTATTTATGTCTGTTGGTGTCTCTGTGGTATGGAATTTGCGTTTTGGTGGATTCCTGTCGTATTTTGCTTTGTTGCATATGTCACAGTTGTTAATATATTTTTGCACTAATTCTTTAAGGTCATTGAAATATATTTTCTTCTTAATGTTGTCGTAGGTTTCGGTTATACCACTATGTCCAGTATCGAATTTGTGATATTTGTATATTTGTTTGTATGTTTCGTCTATACTGGTTATTTCTTTGGCGTGGTAGCTACATTTAACGATTTCCAGGCTAGAGCCAAAAAGTTCTATAAGTTTTAGTTGCACTTTATTGTACGTACTGTCTGGAAGTTCGGAAAATATTCCGATTTTTCCACTTTTCAGATACCTTCTGAATATATCGGTCATAAAATTCGAGGAGATGTTGTCCGTGTTAATGTAAATTTTTCTTTTATTATTGACTATTTCAATTTCTTTAGTTTTACTGTCAGTCAGAATAATTTGTGTTGCAAACCGATTCACTGCTGTTTCCAATATAGGAAAATGGTCATTAAGTTTTTCTTGTTAAAAGTGAATAGTTGCACATGTACTCATGTTGTCTTCGTTTTCTTCCGTCATGTAAATTTCTCCTTTTTGGTTATTACTTCTGCTGAGAAAATCTGCAACTTTATTTTCTTTGCCCTTTATGTAATTTATATTTATATTATATTCGCCTAGTTCTAGTAACCAGCGCTGCAGCCTTGGGTTGATATCTTTTCCCTTGTGTTTGTGATATAA